AACACCCATCATTATGGCGGGCAGAAGGAACGGCAAGAAAGAACACCCTCGGGAAGCCTGTACTCGAAAGGATTATTTATTAATTTATTTAAGCAGCCCCAATAGCCCAAGCTCACCAAGGTTTGGGAGCTTAGTGGGGATGCCAGCCTCCAGGTGGGACTGGGGGATCCCCCCAGAATTATAACTCACCTCCAGACTACAGAAATCTGTTCCCCCATAGAAAATGGATGCTTTGTAGCGCAAACTCTATGGCACTGTACCCAACTGAGGCCCTTGTATTCCCATCCCCAAATCTCCAGGAGTTTTCCAACCTGGAGCCAGCAACCCTATGACCCCCCCATCCCCCACCGGTGGCTAGGAGGACCTGGCAAACCTAGAGCTAAGCAGGGTTGGCCATGATCAGTACTTGGATGGGAGACCACCAAGGAAGACTGGGGTTGCTATGTGGAAGAGGGAAATGGCAAACCACCCCTGCTCTTCTCTTGCCTGCAATGCCCCATGGATGGAGTTGCCATGTGTCAGTTGCAACTCGATGGCCAGATCTACTTATACGATTAACCTCATTTATACCCCTCCTTCATACCCCAATGAGGTCCCAAAGAGGCTTACATTATTATCCTCTCCTCCATTTTATTCTCACAAGAATCCTGAGAGGTAGATTAGGCTGAGAGTGTGTGACTGGCTCAAGGTAGGGATGCTGCCAGTTTCACCACAAACACATTCACCAGTCAAACTCACTGTACTGGAAGGCGTCAATCAAATGCGAGTTGATCACCTAATCTGTTTGGCTCATACTGAACGAACACAAATACCTGCTAGCATGCACCGGGATCTCACAAAACTGCACCTGGGCAGAGAGACAGCTAATTCAAACTGATTAGAAACCATTAGCAAGGTAGAGAGTTGATTTAGCTCTTATGGATCCCTACATGTTTCACTGTTCAAGGTGGGAGCTGAAAAATCTCTGTAGAAGATCCCCGACGAAGCTCATAGTGAAATGCACAGGGATCCATAAGAGCTAAATAAACTCTCTTCATTGCACCTCATTCCTTTTTGTCTTTCCTGCCCACTGGTGTGACCATTATTTTTCCTGGAAACTATTAGCATCATGGGAAGGTGGATAAGAAACCCACTCCTAGATCAGAGGGCTCAGTTTGGTGTAGTGGTTAGGACTGCAGACTCTAATCTGGGAGAACTGGGTTTGATTCCCCACTCCTCCACATGGAGCCACTGGTGTGACCTTGGGTCAGTTACAAGTTCTTTCAGAGCTGTTCTCTCAAGGGCAGTTCTCAAGAGAGCTCTCTCAGCCATACCTACCTCACAGGTGTGTGTTGTGGGGAGGGGAAGGGAAAGGGATTGTAAACTGCTCTGAGACTCCTTCAGGTACTGAAGTGTGGAGTATAAATCCAGTCTCTTCTTCTTTGCTGTATTTCATCTGTCCTCAAATACGGCAATGGGAGGGGGAATATAAAGTCCACTTCTAGAGAGAAGAAACACTGAATCCATGCCTTTTATGGTGCAATGTGTGGACATATATGTGATGTGCAGTCTTCAAATGTGTTTTGGCTAACCCCATGTAAAAAAATGAGAATCCATGAGTTTTACAGCACTGCCTATAGACCAAAGTTGGAGCTATGATGGTTTTGTTTTTGTTTCACTGTAAAAATCCTATGAATTCTCAAGGATCTAGATTAAACATTCACCCAGTACCCCTCCAAAACACAACAGTTTAGAGGGATTAGAAATCCATAATTAGCAAGGAGACATGGCTCAGCAGTAGAGCATCTGCTAGGCATGCAGAAGGTTCCAGGTTCAATCCCTGGCATCTCCAGCTAAAAGGAGCAGGCAGTAGGTGATGTGGAAGACCTCTGCCTGAGACCTCAGAGATCCACTGCCAATCTGAGTAGACAATATGACTTTGATGGACCAAGGGTCTGATTCAGCATAAGGCAACTTCATGTAAGCTCTACTCCTAAAGAACAGGATCCTAAGCCATCTTTCCTTTTTAAAAAATACTTTTTATTGTTTTCCTTCTTTCCTAATTGCTTTGTTTGGAGAAGGCTGAAACAGCAAAGCCTCTGTTCGACAGACATTCATGTTGTGAGAACATGCAAAGAAAAGTCAGTTATGCAGTATGGTTTTGAAGGAATACAATGATGCAAGCTGTCTAACACCAATGATCTATCGAATTGAAAAATGAAAAATCATGTCTCTGTTTACAACTGGTGAACAGGGCATAAGTCAAACCAACAGGTGTTTGAGCATCCCTAGCTCAAGTCACCCAGCAAGCTCCCAGGACAGAATGGGGATTCAAACCTGGGTTCCCCACATCCTAGGTTAGCACACTAATCACTACACCATATGGTAGAGTCATGGAGGGCAGGTTTTCCTTCACTGCAACACTGTCTTCAGATGCGGGAACTATACAGTGACATCTTAGGTCTGAGGGCAGTTTAAATAATGGAAAACAATCCCTGTTTTCCCTCCCATTCAGCTCTCAGGTATGCAGAAGGAGATCTCCATAGTCCTCAGTGGTTCAAAGTTATAAGCACATACTGCTGAAGTAATGGCAATAGGCTGTCATGGGTATAGCCAAAAATACAAGGGAGCAGTTGACTAAATAGATTATGAAAGATGACTCTGCAGGCCAGAATTAAGGCTTGCTGTGTCTCCCAGATAACACGACTAAACAGGAGTCTAACCTGGGAACGCCATTGCCATTTTAGAATCTAATGGGCCAAAACCACCATCACAGGGGCGCAGACATTTCAGCACTTGAAAAGGCTTGGTGGAGGGAAAAGAGTGCAGGGTCTTGCAAAAGAACATGAGTGGTCTCGGAAAAGGGTGCCTGGTCTTGGGGAAAAGTGGCTTCAGAAAGGAGTGCCTGGTCTTGTGACATTCTTAAATTGTCACCCTTATAGCCTAAAATAACAGTGGTGAACGGGGGGGGGCATCTAGTTATGCCCAGAGATATGTCAAATGGGGAGTCCAGAGATGCAGAATGGAATAGCCTTGCAAAGGGACAAAAAAGCTACAAACTAATATAGCTTGCATAATTCACAGTGTAATTCATATCATTGGATATAATACATAATGGGACCCAGTTACCCAGTTTCTCGCACCTGTATATATACAGAAAATAAGATAACACTGCACTATAACCAATCGTTGTATAAATAAATCACGGATACTAAACAGTTGAATTATATTAAAATTGTGTATTATGTTATTTATATTAGTGAGTGAATTAACTAAATATAAATATTTTAAATATCAATCTTACATTAATACAAATAATCACAATAGTTTTTAAAAATCCATTATTACAATTCTGTTCAGAAAGAATACATGCTAATGCAATGAAGCCAATACAGACGTTCTATGAAGAAACAACATTCATGATCACCTATCCACTATAGTCCATTTCCAAATAAACGAAGCCATAAATAAGGCTAAGAAACTGAATAGAAGAAAGGGCTTGATAAGCTTAGTTGAAAGTTGAGTTTGACGAGAAGCCTAGGTTTGCTCCCGTTTCCATCAGTCTTCATCAGAAAATCTCACCGTTAACAGAAAAACAATCACCTCAGAGCTGGACCCCAAAGTGAATATTTTTATCCCAGCCAATCCAATAGTTTACAAGAATGAAAAATTGTTTCCACACTTTCTAAGGTTGGCAAAAGGGTTCTCGGCCTATGATTTTCTGATGAAGATTGATGGAAATGGGAGCAGACCTAGGCTTGATTCTTTGTTATTAAAAATAACAAGAATACACTTTTCATATGTGTTTAGAAGACACATGAGTACAGGCAACTTTGTATGGTGCTTGAAGTTATAAGATTATTAGCTAAGAATGTGAGCTCTGTTAGTTGGGACAGTTAGTGGTAGCAGATGTCATGAAGTTGCAGTCAACTTATGTAGACCTTGTAGGGTTTTCAAGACAAGAGATATGCAGAGGTGGTTTGCCATTGCCTGGCTTTGCATTGCCTTGATTGTCTCCCATCCAACTACTAACCAAGGCTGACCCTGCTTAGCTTCCAAGATCTGACAAGATCAGGCTAGGTTGCTACTGTTAAATGATGGTCTTGAAAACCTATAATATCAGAGTCAGAATTGATCAGCTTCTTAGAAGGGACTCCATGCTTTGTAAGCGGCTTACTTTCGGTAAGGCATTTTAGTGGGCTTAAGTGATTGGTCTCTTTTGTTATCTATGTAAAATCGATTGATGGTATTCTCATATTCTTTTATGCTAGTCAATGTTAAAAATATAAATAGTGGTGTTTTAATAAAAAGACAAAATGTGGGCAAGAATCTCTAGTAATATTTATACCTCGGTGGCGAGGGCGGGGTAAAAGTCAAATCAATCAATCAATCAATCAATCAATTGAGCACAATACCTATAATAGACCACAATGTTGTTGAGGTGTACCTCCTGCCAGGAGATGAACGATCTCATATAAGAAACCTAACTACGGCCACCCTTCCCCCCATCCCCCATCAGTGGTCAGGGGGTCTTGGCAACCCTAGAATGTCCTTTTACCCTGATCCATAATTGCTTAGGGCTTCAAAGATAAGTTAAGTGAATAGGTAATTGGTACAGTTTTTGAGGCTAGAAGGATATATCATATCCCTGCTTCTTATGTTCAGTCTGAGCACATTGCAGTAGTCCTATCAGCATATATTTCAAGAACATCTTTGCCTGGTGGAATGACCTACCTGAAGAGGTGAGAAAGGCTCCCATGTTTTTATCACTTGGCAGAATACGCACAATGAAATTGTTTTTGTGAAGGGGATAGGGCTGCCGCAATGAATGTGAAATTCTAGGGCGTTTGTTGCATTGTTCATAGCATATCCTATATTATTTGGGAGTCTGTTGTTCTTAATTTCTGGTTTCATTGCATTGCTAATTGTATGTATTACATTGATTTTAATTGTGCGATCCACCCTGTGTCTCAGAGGGAAAGGAAAAACAAACAAGTAAACAAAGAACGTACACTACACACCTGTCTGTTGATGATGATGACCCTTGTCTTTGTTTGGAAGATCACTAAAATCGTAAGAAATGGCAGGGCTTGTCAATAGGAATGTGAGAATCCTGTCAATCTTCTCAGCTGAAGAAAACTTGGAAGCCTTTAAAAGGGGGGGGGAGAAATGAGTAAGTTGAGAGAATACATATGATGGACTTTGTCATTCAAAATATAGCAAAAAGGCCAGCTAATTTAGGGTATTTCACGTCACCAAGGTTAGAAACTGAGAGCCGGTGTGTTGTAGTAGTTAGCACACTGGATTAGGAGCTGAGAGACCTAGGTTAAAATCCCCACTCTGCCATGGAAAATTGCTGGGTGACCTCGGGCTAGTCATACACTTTGACTTTCAGCCTATCCTGTGAGGATAAAAGGGAGGAGAGGAAAATAACGTAAGCTGCACTTCATTCCCTTTAGGGAGAAAGATGGGGTAAAAATGAAGTAAATAACTAAATAACACAAAGAATAGTTTTAAGGAGTACATAAATCATAAATCATAAAATGCCCGAGGGAAAGGGGTTAAACAGACAGCACCCCTTCCCTTATGTCCTCCTCCTCCAGTCAAATTTGCACTCACAACTGGAGTGGAGTCCTGTAAACAGGAGATACGCTATATGCAGAGGTCGATTCGGGGGGATCGTGAGGGATCGCAGTTCCCCCGGGTGAGAGGCGGGGGGGGCACACAACGAAGCCCTGCCCCTGATTCCGGCCTCCCCGCTTCCAGCCCTCATTCAGTCAGGAGGAGGCAGGAGAAGAGGGAGGGTAAGTTGCTTCCTCCCTGCCTCTCCCCACCCCTGCCTGCCTGGGGCCAGGGAGGGCCTTGGCGGGGCTTCCTCGCACTCCCGCCTACCTTGCAGGGCCCCTGATGTCAGGGGGTGTGGCATATGCTAATGAGTTATGCTAATGAGTTCCCCTAGCTCTTTTTCTATGAAACGACCCCTGGCTATATGTCTCCACGTCTCACATAGCTGGACCCTGGCATTACAATACTCATGTCAGTCAACTACAAACATAAGTAGCTACGCAGGTAGTAAAGCCCTAAAAAAAGGCATCCAATCAGATTTTTCTGTCTTTCATCCAATTGTCATCTGGTCAAATTTGTTTCCAAGGTTTTTTGAAGCATCATAACAGCCCACAAAACCCATTTCTAGAGATGACAGTGGGATAAATGTTCCAGAGTGCATCCGTGTTATAACCTTCCATTTTCTCTAAATATAGTGACTACTTTCCTGTGCTTTCTCATCTCTTTCACTCCACTTTTTTATGACAGCAGTCCATTTCTCATTTGCACTGACTCCATCCTCTAGCACATTTATTGTCTGGACTCCCCTTTTGCTGGCTCTTTCACAAGCAAATTATTATTTGGGTTTTAGTTTTAGAATGGATTTGGGGTGTGTGCGGCTTTTTTTAATTGAGCAGCATTTTATTAGTATTTCAACACACACAGAAATCAATGAGCAAATTATTCAGCTAAGATCTAGAAATAATACACAATGACAAGTACCTAGTAATATTTGGATATGCATTTATTAATGAAGCAAAACAATGAAATCCTCGTCCTTCTGCACAGTGACTTATATTTGTACCAGAAAAGGGGGGATTTATTTTCAGTACATTATATGTCATTGGAAAATACTGAAGAAATCCAGCTTTTACAAACTGATTCTTTGTGTTTTCACCAACTTTCAACTATTGTTGCCAGACCACTAGAAGGAGTTACTGTAGTATGTTTCCCTGCTCCTACTTTCTAGTAGCTCAGAGCTTGGCCATTCTGATCTGGGCAGTGATGGAACAGGGCCACATTTATGTAGGCAGATTCATGCATTAAAGCATGCAACAGGCTGAGTATGTCCCCCTCTCTGGTGTAACTCTCAGATATGAATTGTGGGTTCTCTTCAGTTCCTGAATATGTGGTGCTCAGTTCTGATCAGGAGTATAGGATGCATGAAAAATTATGTGCATTTCCTAACCGGGACAAATTTCACCTCTCTGGGATTGTTTCAGGACAGGAAAACAGCATGCTTCAGCCTCCCCCCTCCCTCATGCTGTTTTCCTGACCGGAAACAATCCCAGAGAGGTGAAATTTGGCCTGGTGAGGAACCTGTTCACAGAGATATACATGGGTTTCCCCAATGGGCCAGTGTCCTCCAGGACCATTTCAGGTTAAGAAACTGATGCTGGGGAGGTGGGGGGAGGGGCGGGAAGCTTCTTTTCCAGGTGTGCCACAATCCCAATTCCAATCAAGCACTGCACCCTTGGGACCTGGGGAGAACCTATAACTCGTCTCACTGTTGCAAAGCCTGGGGACTCCAGACCCAGCCTGTGTACTCCATAACCTTTTTCTCAGACATACGCACTACGCCACTGGTGATCCATCTGTTGTAGGCCTTTTGCATGAAAGTACACTTAACTGCCCTTAATCCTTAACAAGAGAGTCCTGAGAGCTAATTTACGTAATTCCCATGCAGTGAATTCTGTACATGGAATTAAATAATTTATGTCCACTCAGGTGCCCTTCTGCCCACATGATGCTACATACATACACGTGTCTCTGTAGTAATCTCTGCAGAAAGACTGTAATGTTGTGCATTCTAGGATGCTATTGAATTCTACCGCCTGACTGCTTGCACATAAGTGGTGTGTTAATGTCATAAAACATTGGAACTCCCTCCCCAAGGAGATTCATCTGTCTCGCTCTACTGTTATATTTCATCAGTGGGATGAAGACTCCCCCCCCCCAGTCTGGCATGCCCCCAATAATTTTTATTGGCTTCCTTCTTGGTTTTTGGTGTTATGTCTGTTTATATGTTTTTATTGAAGTACTGGATATATACTTTATTTTTAAAGTTTTTGATTTTGAAAAGTTTTAATGTTTGATATTTGCTGCCTTGGGGACCCTGTTTGGGTGGAACAGCAGCATAAAATGTTTTAAATAAATAAATCATAAAAAGGGAGTAAAAGAAATAAATACATTAGGAACACCAGGAAGAAAAATGGGTACTCTGACTTGAGTAGCCCAGGCAAGCCCGATCTCGTCAGATCTCAGAAGCTAAGCAGGGTCAACTCTGGCAAGTACTTGGATGGGAGACCGCCAAGGAATACCAGAGGCAGGAGGTGGGAACAAGCCTTACTCAGCCACCTCTCTGAATATCACCAGACCCCCAGTAGGGGTCAGTCACTATGACTTCCAGGTGCACACACATATATTTTTTAAAAAAACACAAAAAATACCAACCAAAAAAAAGGGTGAAACAAAAAGGCCGAGAATGATAACACTGGAAAACAAAAAGAAATGAAAGAAGGCATATTTGTGTATCCATACTGTTTTCTGAGATTGCAATGACAGCACTGGCATAATCCATTTTATGCCATTATGACTGCAGGTCACACAAGTAGGCTCTTCCATATTCACCCTGCTTTTAGGAGTCTAGCAATGCAATGCAAAGCAGAAGTACACTTTCCCAAGTCCACTAAAGTTAGTGAGCTTGGAACTATATAACTCTGTACAGAATTACACTTTAACTACATTAAAAATGACAAAGGGAACGTTGACTCTTGAAAGCATACACCCTGAAACTCTTGTTGGTCTCTAAGGGGCTACTGGACTCAGCTCTAGCTTGTTATTCCTGTTTGGTCCTTGAATCTGTTAAACATCTTCATTATCTTGTATGCTGACTTGCTGTTGGGGGAATTAAGAGTCCAGGAGCTTGGTGGAGGTGCGACAAAATAGTAAAATTTTGGAAAATGGTAAAATATCTGATAAAAGAAATTGTAGGAATAGATCTGCAGCTTAACCCGGAAAGTTACTTGCTTAATATCTTGCCTGATATAATAAACAAGGATGATAAATGTATTGTGTTATATATCCTCACGTTAAGCAGAATTCTAATAGCGAAAAAATGGAAATCAGATTTACTACCTAAAAAAGAAGAAATAATGGAAAAAATATTAGAAATAGCAGAAATGGACAGATTAAATATGATATTAGCAGAAAGAGACGATAACGTTTATAAGAAAAGATGGTTTAAAGTGTATAAATGGTTTGAAAAAAATGTATAATGAACACTCCGAAACTGATTTGTACAATAAGAAAGTACTTGGATTTCTATTTTTTGTTTGTTTGTTTGTTGGAAAAAGTATAAATAAATTCTAAAAAAAAAAAAAAGAGTCCAGGAGCTTTACCAAGAAATTCCATCCCTGCTCGGCTTGACAAGGGTGGGGGGTAAAACTAGCAAGAACCCCATAGTTTGAGAGAGAGAGAGAGAGAGAGAGAGAGAAAGAAGAAAACAAAAGAACATCCCGGAAAATCTACAGCAACTAAAAAAAGAACTGTTCCAAAGTATCTATGATTTATTAAAAAGAAAACCATACTGCACAATTTTTCAAGCAAGTAGCAATTTCAACATTCATCTTATAGAAGGGAAAAGACAAACCAATACTTATAAACAAATCGTGCACTCATTATTCATTTAGGGATTATTATCTATTTAGGAATGCATTCCGGCCACTCTGGCAAGACCTAACCATGGTGCTGGCAGAGGGCCCTTAGCATCTCAAACACTGGTGTTAATTGCCTTCAGAATCCAGATTAGTGTCAATCAAGAAATCGGATGGTCCTGATGAAACCCAGACCCTTCCCTTTTCTGACCAGAAGACTCTGACTGGGGTCATTGTATTACTAGTTTAAAAACACCCTCCCTGTCAAGGCAGGAGCTTGGAGCCACTGATTTTGGCTTTGAGGCTGGAACTCAGAAATGTAAACAGTTCTTTTAGAGCAGAGTGCAGGGTGCATTGTCAGGCTGAAGAGCCTCCTGCAAAACCTTATGGGACAGAGCCAGACAGAGAGATCTAAGCCAATTCAGGTTGCTGTACAAAACCGTCCCGTCTCACATAATTCTGCCACACTTATTGCTCACCCTCTACCTATATGTATGGACTGGTAATTTCCATTTCATTGTATCTGAAGAAGTGTGTGTGCCCACAAAAGCTTATTCCTTGAATAAAACTTTGTTTAAAGGTGCCACTGGACTCAAACTTTGTTCTTCTTCTTCAGACCAACAAGGCTACAGCCTGTCTCTTTTCATTCAAAGGTTTAAACTCATTAATGCACGAAGGATTATAATAGGCTAGTTTGTGAGAGCAGCCATGCAGCATCAGTCCAATGGTCCCATCTTGCCAGCCTCCTCCTCCTCCCAACGGTGGCCAACCAGATGGTCCCAGAAGAGACATAGATGCTAAAGCCTCCCCCTGTGGTTGCCCCTTCCCAGTACCAGTGTAAACTCTGCAAGCTCCATCTTGCTTCCACTATGATGCCAGCTACTTTTACCGAAACAACAATATCCTTAAAAAATGTGTGTTTGAAAGGAATTTACCAGTGCCCTTAGCCAACTGCTAATAATGCAATGCATCATTTTTTATTAATCCTTTTGTTATGAGCATAATGCCTTAGGCGGCAGACACGGTAGATTTGTCACAGGAAAATGAGACTGTCTGAATTACAAACACAGCTATTATTTTTGCTCTTGCTTTCCAATTACGATATAGACACGTCAAGTGCACTCAGACTGGCCACTGTTGGACAAATGGTATTTCAGGTCCTTTCCTCTCCTGCAATAGATTTTCTTTTCCCATTATATGGCCCTGGCAGAAGCAGTCGTTGTACTGCAGGAGCTGTATTCTTGTGCTTAGATGTGGTTAAAACCCTGGAACATATAGATGAGAAATCTGCATGGCAATCTGCAGACCTCTTAGAAAATCAAACACCTGTCCACGGTCCAACTATGCACTATAATTGTAATGCCTTCCATTGACTGCCTTAATTGATCCATTCAATTGAGGAATAGGTTAATCACAGATTTTAATTGTGGATTCCTGAACCTTTCAATGGCTGGCTGCAAATCGATTTTCAGCTGTCACAAGACTGGTAGAAGCAATCCACATGCCTACCCTTATTCATTTAGTGAGTATGACCCAAAGATCTGCCAGAATCTGAAAAGCACATGGAGATCCACACATTCACAGTTTCTGAGTTCTCAGTGACAGAAGCAGATAAAAGTCAGGAAGTTAAGTAGGTGCCAGGTGACCCTCAAGGACTTGTAGGCAGGCCCAAGTGTGTCATCATCACTGAAAAAGTTGTCTTGGATGCTACCTGCCTCACCTCTATAGGCAGAGACACAGAGAGAAGGGCTTGGGTGAGGAGTTTAATTGATGGGCTGGATAATATGGGAGGAGACATCCTTCTGGTACCACAGCCCCAGCCATGTAGGGCCTTAAAAGTAAGAACCAGCACTTTGAATTGTGCCTGATTGCTGTGAGTATAAAATCAGGAGGGGCTGGGCTATATGTGTGGGGAAGGGCAGGATACAAATCAAATAAATGAAGACATTTCATGAGAATATGGCATGCCCCTTTCAAGCTCTGCTCTGCCTATTTTAGGTTTGCCAGGCTCCCGCCCCCAGGCCACACCCCCGCCACCAATCAGCTGGCCAGTGGGGGGGACTTACTGGCAGCGGGGGAGGCCTATCCCTATGTTTCAGCCATGTTGTTGGCAGCAAATAGAGCCCTAGGCTGTCAGTGCCAGTGACATGCTGACATCACTTCCACTACACGCCAGAAGTAACATCATCATGTTGCCGGCAATGTGGCAATGCTCTGGTATTTCAGCAAAAACTCTATGGTTTTTCCCAAACACCAGAGCACTGCTACATCATTGACAATACTATAACTTCAGTTCTGGTGTGCAGCCTCTGCCAGTAAGTCTCCTGCTGCCATTAAGTCTCCCCCCCACCCCGTTTCTAAGGGGTACCTGGCAACCCTGATGTATAACTACAAGGGCTTAGAGTTTGGGAAACCATCGTAACACTGGGGGTGATTTTTCACCAAAGCTGCCTCGCAGCGCAGCACCGTTTGCCCCAACACAAACATGTCAATTTCACACCCGAGGCTGCGGGGCTGCATTTGACTCGCGGCTTTGCCCAATTTCCTCCGCAGTTTCATGATCCTCAAAAACCAGGATCACGAAACTGCGGAGGAAATCAGGCGAAGCCGCAAGTAAAAATGCAGTCCCGGAGCTTTGGGTCTGAAATTGACATGTTTGTGTCGGGGCAAACGGCGGCTGTGCTGCGAGGCAGCTCTAGTGAGAAATTGCCCTGGCTCTATTCAACCAAAGTTGCCACGGGAGAGGCACGGGAGTCCCGTGGATATTCCGGGTGCAATCTCACCTCAACATCTGGGAAGCGCAGTGCTCCCGTGGCGAACCCATGGCTCCTGCCGAAGGTGTGGAGTTAAAAACTAGTATCTAAGAGGTACTAGTTTCCTGAAACCGCGGGCCAAGGGTTGGTGTCTGATTGCATTCTCAGTGGACTTACGTGGCATCCGGCGCCTGCCAGTGTTCATCTCCGCAGGTTGCACAACAGTGCCCAACAGTGCATGCGCACAAAGAGCGATTGCCAGTGCGATCGCGCGACGCGGCTTCTGTGCTGCGCTGCAGGACACCCATCTGATCGGCATTTCCCCCAACCATGGGACCTCGAGACCGGGACGTGTGCTTGGGCAGCCACAGGTTAGTTTCCTCCAGGGCATTTAGCCATGCCTCCCCCCCGCGATATCCGGCCCGTGTGGCCAGGGCCTATGTGGCTTATTTTAATCATAGTTAATTGTGAAGGCAGAATGTAGCTTTCAGATGATCACAGCATCCACCAGCAAGAAAACAGAACCTGAAACAGTCACTGATCTGCAGGACTACTTCAGTTCTCACTTGGCTCCAACCCACAGCTAGAGAAATATTCTCCCTGCTGCCATTACAGATGCTGCTTCCCAGATGCATTGAGTCCTTCCCGTGGGCATTGCCTTTCTAGCAACTTCCTGTAGACACTGAAGAATGAATAATAACTGAAGTCCACGTTACATTATTCGAAGTTCTTATGGCTGCCATATCACATATGTGTTGGGCTTTCCATGATTCTGAGAAGTGCTGGTCAGTATTCCAACCCTCACCTTGGCACTTTTGCAGAAGAGTTTCAGACTTACTCCCTCCCCTCATCCCAGGCCTTCCAGGACCCCAGCAGGGACTCTAAGCAGCAGTGGAAGGAAAACTTAACAACTTAAGTTTCTCAGTGAAGCAAAGAGCAGCTTTCTGGAGTTATTTGCAAAAATGGCATGGCATGTGTGGTGGAGGTTGAAGCCCCTTCTCCACATGTGCTACAGTTGTGATTGGAATACAGCCCCCACACGCCTAGGAGGCATGAAACTCCCAGCCTTTGTGGGAGACATGAAGACTCTGTATCATGGGAATTGTACAAGCTGATTTCAGAAAGACTTTTGTTTTGTTTTTCCCTATCAAGGCTGTGACTGATATCAGTTGTAATAAATTACTGTTTATTATACATTTTCCTCACCTTTGAAGCAGGCAGAATGTGTTCTTTATATACGGAAACCATCATGCACAGTTACGACTTTATATATGACAGCGGTGAACAGCAGCTAAGCAACTGTGATTTATTGTACTTGCTGAGACGTTACATCTAGGAATGTCGTCAACTGGATTCCTTTTTTGCAGCTTCCAATCGATCTATTCCTCATTATTATTCCATCGACCCACAGAATGTACAACACAAAGTACGTTCTCCTGTCTACTATCGGCACTTCTGCCCCCCCCCATTAACTTAATGCAGAGCTCAATTTACCTGACAAGCAAAGGCTACTGGATCCGCCACCTTCTGAAGTATACATTCAATCTCCTCTGCTGCTGTGTAATATTCAATCCGTGTTGTTGCTTTAATGACTCCCTCACAGTAAACAATTACATTTACAATGCCAGCAGGAAAATCTGATAAAATAGAAATAAAAAAAGGTAAGGAAGGAATGTTAGAGGAACCATTATGGACAACTAGGATTGTCAACCTCCTGTTGGAGCCTGGAGATCTCCCAGTATTACAACTGATCTCCAGAGTACACCAGGATTGCTCTGATTTCCAGAGATCAGTTCGACTGGAGAAAATGGCTGCTTTGGAGAACAGACATTATGGCATTATAGTCCACCGAGATCCACCCACTTCCTAGGCTCCACCCCCAAATCTCCAGGAATTTACCAACCAGGAGTTGGCAACCCTAGCTGCCACACTTCCACCCATCAAATAGGTTTAAGATTCACATTCAGGAAAAATTTGGATCGTTCAAATTATCATATCATCGGATTGTACCTATTTGTTACCTTCCAATACTAAATCATGTACCAAATTAATATGAATAACATTTCCTTTCTAGTGTGCTGAGGGTGTGCCGGACACTGATTCATGGCATGCCCTCCTAAAGGTGGGGAAGCTACTCGGTTGGGTAACCAACTCGGGAAGCAGGCCCTTTCAAGCACTGTCTGACTCACTGAATGGCAGCACTGGACTCTTTGAGGTGCTTCCTGGTTCACCACTGATTGGAGGGACTGGGCTCTTTAAGGAGCCTCTTCCTGCTGTTCAGCAACAACTTCTTGGGAGCAGGGAGGGTGGAGTCCACAATGCCCAGGAAGCTGGCACCGGATTCGTAAGGAGGGAGGAGGAGGAGAAACAAAGAGCATGTGCTGGCTTTGGTTTTAGGCACTCAGGATCAGTGTAAGGGAAGAGGAGGACCTGAGTGTCCCAGAACCTTCTTTGCCTGTGTTTGTGTACTGTATGTGCACCTAAAGCGGCACTTTCATCTGTCATCTCACCAAAGTAACACTGCTTCTATTTGGAAAATCTGCCTTGGAAGCATGCACTGAATTGGAAATTCTGATCATTTTAATATGTTGGAAGTTGACAGTGGATATTCGTACACTGGTATACTTTCATGATGCTCAACATGTACAGCCCCAATAGACACTGCAATATTTGATAAAGTTTCTTTCATTGTGTAGGAATTAAGCACCAAACGAAACTGTGTGTTTTAGAATCTGTCTTTTTAACATTTATTTTTATTTCAGCAACTGTCTTTAATGAAAAAAATGTGATCAATTTTAATTATAAGCTACTCAGGAAGCCCAAAATTGAAATGAAGGATACAAATATATCTTTAAAAAGAAATGTTTTTCTAACAGATATAATTTGAAGATGGACTATTAAACTTTATTGCAAGTGGCTCATTCATTTGACTTGTTGATTAGCGTTGGAGACAAACAACAGGGGAGGCATGTTGCATTCGTGGACTGCCTATAAGCTTCCCAGAAGCATCTGGTTGGCCACTGTTGTGAATAAATTCTGAAAGCTGAATTTTCAGTTCTGCCTGGTAGGATATTCATAATTTCTTAGTATATTGCCAAGCTTTTGGCTTTCTGATATAAACCATGTACATTACTTCCTGTCCTGTTAGGAGGGTCTTATGAATTCTATGGACACTTTCTCCAAAGAAAAACCTTTCAAGAGCCACAGTGATGTCCTTGTAATTCTCTGTCCTCTCTATTACTGTCCAATCAGAAGTCTCCACCATGCTGAATCCTCCATGTGCTAGTTGTGGTTTCGGTCAACCTTATTTTCATCTCAGGTTCCTGATGCTTTGTGGTTTGCTTGATTCCCTCCAGTAGCACAAAGCCTATTCGGTAGTGAGAAGCTGAGTCTGTTTTGCATCTCTGGATGTTAATAATATTTTCTTCTACACATCAAGGTGGGTTGAAGTTCAGTGCTCACTACAATGTGAGCTGGGCATTCCCATTCGGTAGTAATTTTTAGATTGGGAGATGGAATTTCATTAACCAAAAAACACAACCACCACAACCACAACAGCCAGGCCTCTTTCTGATCACAGAGGCCTAATCTCTGCTAAGCAGACGGATACTGCACTGTTTATTGTATACAGCTAAGTCTAACTTGAGAAATGCATCGGTGACCGTTCCTAAATGTAGAAAAGAGCAAGACTCCAGTAGCACCTTAAAGACTAACAAAATTTGTGACAGGGTATGAGCTTTTGTTAGTCACTGCTCACTTCTTTAGAGATTCAGAAGAAGTGAGCAGTGAATCATGAAAGCTCATACACTGTCACAAATTTTGTTAGTCTTCAAGGTGCCACTGGACTCTTGCTCTTTTCTACAGCTACAGAGAGACTAACATCTTGAGCCGTCCCTAAATGGATTAATGAATCTTGGAATAAAAAAAGACTATGAGCTATTTGTGAGGAACCAAATTCGATTCCAGACCAACAAGATTTTGGGGGTATAAGCTTTCTAGAGTCAAAACTCCCTTCACCAGAGACCATGTATCTGAGAAAGAGAGCTTTTGGCTCTTGAAAGCACATATTCTGAAAATCTTTTGGGTCTCTAAGGTGTTACTGGACTGGAATCTACTTCTTGTAAGGAACAAGTAACCCAAACAGATAAGATCAAGGCTGAGAGTTGGCTCATATCTAGAGTCAGTTTCAGGGGTGAAATACATACTGCCATTTTGTAGCCTAGTCCAGGAAGATTATATCATTCTGAATGATTTCTAGATAAATCTAAAATATTTTAGGTGCTATACATAGATAAATTTAACAGGTTATGTCCTTTAGCCTCCCCATCTAAATATAATAGGCTGAAAAGCAAAACAACAACAAATATGTATCCTCCAGAACAGGTGTCCTCAACGTGGTGCCCACAGACACTTTTCCTGTTGCCCACCAAGTGTTTTTAGAAAATGGGCAGGGCCAGGTGGGCCTTTGCCCAACAAAGCTTCTAACTGGCCAATGGAGATTTGATGGGCTGTGCAGATTTTTAAAAAACAATGCTTTGGCAGCCACAGCACAAGGATCTCCACTGTGTGACTAAAGGTAAACCTCAGCAACCCTTCTGTGACTAGCTCGACCTTCTGCAACAGCCATTTTCCAGCAGCCATTTTGTGGCTGGGCCCAATATGCTGTGCTAGAATAAAAAAAATGGCCCACAGGCTCTAAAAGGTTGGGGACCCCTGCTCCGGAACATACACAGGATCGAACCTGACACTTTCTGTATTCAAAATATGTACCCTACCACTGAGTCAAAGTTCTCTGAAATTAAAGGAATAAGAAAGTTTGGAGCTTGGTCTAAAGGGAATTCTTTTGAGTATAATGACTGCCAGCAATTTGGCAACATTAATTCAGTAAATGTTACATGTAAATGGGAAATACTGGTAGCATTTTGAATCTCAATTTTTCCTCATTATTTAGGAAGGAAAGAGCGCACGGAACCAAATTTTTTTTTACTGGATGTGAAGCCCCAAACAATGAAAAATAGTTGATGTTGGTATGAATAACCATGAAATAAACAAGCTGAATGAGGAAGGGGGAAACACCCGTAACATCTCTTTGTAAAACAAGAGAACATCTTGCTGAACTTTGTGCGGTAATAAGAGAATAAGAGCTGTGCACATTTTATAGCAGGAATTGATTGAGAATAGCAATCTGTGACTAATCAATGACATTTTAAAGACTGCCACCTGCCATTTTACCATACAAAAACAACCCAATAAATCCAGTTTCACATAAGTAACAAGCTTTTATGTCTGCGTATTAATGAAATAGCATTCTGCATACAAAATGATCCAGGCATAGTGAAACGCTCCAAAGGGGTATTGGGCTATGACAGAAAGTAAAACTTCCATAAAGCAAGTGATGTCTATTTAAATATGTTAGCACCAGTATGGTGCGTTCTGGTTAGATTGGGATCTGGGAAACCTGTGTTCAAGTCTTCACTCTGCCATGAAGCTCATTGAGTGACCTTGGGCCAGTCACTCTCCCTCAACTTATCCTATATCAAAAGAGAATAAAATCAGAAAGGACTTCAAAATTATCTTACTGAGCGTCTTCATAAACATGACGTTTTGATTCCAGAAGTTTGGCTGAGTCCTGATTCGCTGATTTTCTGTCATGAACTCAATCTCTACTGAGCCACTGGGGACTTCATCTCTCAGAAGAATGAATATTTCTTCAGGGTTCTATGAAGTTAGAATTACAACCATTTAGATGTTCAGACAGAATGACGAAAAATAAAATGACACACAAAAAGATTCTAATGTAAGCTGAAGCTGCTTGATGAGTTACCAGGAGATGATTTTCATTCTGAGACACGGTCATGGAAAGGTGATAGCAGCTCGGTCACGACCAGTGCAATCCTAAGAAGAGTTACCCCATTCTAAACCAACAGACCTAGATAGGTCAACTCTGCTTAGGATTCCACTATAAGGAGAGCTAGATTCGAGTCCCGTAGCACTTGAGAGCCCAACAAGATTTTCAGGGTGTGAGATTTTGAGAGTGAAAGCTTCCTCTGTCAGGGAAAGGACTATGGAAGCTTTGACACTTGAAAGCTTCTACCCTGAAAGCCTTGTTGGTCTCTGGGGCACTACTGGACTCAGATCTAGCTGTTCTATTGCAGACCAACACGACTACTCTCTGACAATATAAAGGTGTGCCTGACAACATGTAACAGGAGTGATAGATTTGCTACAGAGGTGAATTTGATGGTCAGACATGCACTGTGTTCCTACTCAAGGCAGTCCCCAAAAGTCTTTCTCCCATATGTCAGGAACATGAGTGTATCTTCACCGGTTTAACAATCGCAGAGAAAAGAGCACAGAGATGTAAGTTGTAGAGACCATGTCACCAGGGCTGGCCCCAGCTTATTTTGCATCCTAGGCGAGGATACCTTCTGGCTCCCCCCCCCATGCACCCACCATGGCTCGGACCCGTTAATTGGATCTGTACCCCGGACCTCCCGTTCCCCTGGCACCCATGCTCTTAACACTCACTTTTGCTTTTGTACATCTGGCTTCCACCAAGGAAGACTCTGCAAAGAAAGGCACTCGCAGTCGCAAACAACCTCTGCTTCTCACTTGCCTTGACAGTTCCTTGCTGGGGTTGCCATAAGTCAGTTGCAACTTGAGTGTCCTTATGTAATAGCCCCCCTACTTAGATTCTTCTTTGACTCAGCTGAGTGACCCTTCTTTTTTTTTTTTCCATTTTGAGTCCCAAAAGCAGAATTTCCGGTGCTTTTTTAAAAGAACATTTCAGTATTTTTTTGCATTTCATTGTGGACTTTTGTCCAAAAGTCTACAGCTTTCTCACAAGTCCACCACATATGATAAAATGAGCCCTCATGCCTCTTACATTTCCAGCATTTGTTTGACATATTTTGATTCATATTTGCAATCTTCTTAGGTGTCATGTACCACCTATACATCATCTTATAACAATTTTCTTTAACATTAGTACATGTCGAGATCTTAATAGAATTTTTCCACAAATATTCCCAGGTTTCCATAGCCACTTCCTTATTCATATTAATAGCCCATTTTAACATTTGTTCTTTAACAGTTTCATCTTCAGTATACCATTTTAACAACACCTTATACATTTTAGAAATATTTTTTCCTCCTCCACTCTCCCAAACCTTTTCAATTTCATTTTTTTCCTCTCTAAAACCATAGTTTTTTTTGTCAGATCTAAAAAGATCATAAATCTGCATATATTTCAACCACTCATATTCATATTCAATTTCATTCTGCTTTTTCATTACCCACTCTGTTCCCTCTTTTTTAATTAAATCTCTATATGGCAACCAGTCTCTACCTCGCTGTCTTGAGTAAGATATCAACACTTCTACTGGTACAATCCACAATGGTCTTAAGTCACTCTGGTACTTCTTATATCTTGTCCATACCATATACAAAGCTTTTCTCACCAAGTGAAGTTTAAAAAAACTGTCCATTTTTATCTTGTCATACCATAAATATGCATGCCAGCCAAATCTACAATCATGCCCTTCCAACCCCAACAATCTGTCATTTTCAAGCTTCACCCATTGATCCATCCATGTTAGACAAACCGCTTCATAATATAGTCTAAGATTTGGCATTTGTAGACCTCCTCTTTCTTTGGCATCACAAAGTATTTTCATTTTGATCCTTGGTTTCTTGCCTGCCCAAACAAATTTTGACAACTCTTGTTGCCACTTGGCCAACAAATCCGTTTTATGCAGAATTGGTATTGTTTGGAACAGGAACATCAAACGTGGTAGGACATTCATTTTTATAACTGATATTCTTCCCATCAGTGATAAGTTCATTTTATCCCATTTCTTAAAATCTTGAGTCAGCTTAGTCCATAATTTCTCATAATTATTCTTATATAGGTCTATATTTTTTGCCGTTAATTCAATTCCAAGGTATTTTGTTTTTTTAACTACTTCACATTGTACCAGTTCTTGTAGTTCCACTTGTTTTTGTTTGATCATGTTTTTACATATAAGTTTTGTTTTATTCTTATTTACGTAAAAGCCGGCCAATTCTCCAAACTCCTTTATTTTTTGAAAAAGCAATGTCAATTTTTCTGTTGGGTTTTCCACCATAAACATTACATCGTCTGCAAATGCTCGATATTTGTATTGGTGTCCTTTATGTGTCAAGCCCTTTATTTCTTGATCGTACTGTATTTTTTGTAAAAGTATTTCCAATACCCAGATAAATAATAACGGTGATAACGGACAACCTTGCCTTGTTCCTTTCTGTACTTTGAAGTTATCTGTCAGTTCTTTATTCACATTTATTTTAGCTCTTTGTTCAGAATAGATAGCTTCAATACAATTTCTAAAATGTTGTCCCGCTTCAATCTTTTCCATCATCTGGTGCATAAAATTCCAATTAAGATTGTCAAAAGCTTTTTCTGCATCAACAAACAGAAAAGCTACTTCTTTTTCTGGGTGCTTTTCATAATATTCAATTGCGTCCATTACTATTCTTACATTGTCTCTAATCTGCCTTTTGGGTAAAAAGCCCGCTTGATCTTCAGAAATTACCGTTTGTAAATAGTTTTTCACCCTTTCTGCAATAATTTTTGCAAAGATTTTATAATCGTTGTTCAAAAGAGATATTGGCCTGTAGTTCTTTACATTTGTTGAATCTTGTCCTTCCTTTGGAATCAAAGAAATAATTGCTTCTTTCCATGAGTCCGGCACCTTTTTGTTTTCTCTTATTTCGTTGGTTAAAGCTTCCAGGACCGGGGAAATTTCTTCTTTCATCTTTTTGTAGAATTTCGCTGTAAATCCGTCCGGCCCAGGCGCCTTCCCCAACTTTGTCTCTTCTATTGCCTTCATCACTTCTTCTTTTTGAATTGGACCATTTAATAAATCTTTGTATTCCTTACTTATTTTTGGTAGTGGAATCTCCTTTAAATATGTTTTAATCTTCTCAAGATCAACTCTAGTTGTTTGGAATAGTTTAGCATAATACTTGAAGAAACATCTCTTTATTCCATTAGGATCAACGAACTCTTTTCCATCTTCTATTATTTTGGTTATCATTCTTCTCTCTCTTCTAGCCTTAAGTTGCCAAGCTAAGTATTTTCCCGGTTTGTTCGCCCCTTCAAAAGATTTCTGTTGTAACTTCTTTAAATTCCAATACATTTCCTGATTCCAAGTCTCATTCAGTTGTTCCTTCAGCAACTTTAATTCTTTAATAATTTGCTTTTTTCCAGGCTTCTTTTTTAATTCCTTTTCTTTCTGAGCAATTTTTTCTAACACTTCTGTTTGTTTTTGAAGTTTTTCCTTTTTTTGCTTCACGTTTTGCGAGATGAGAATTCCTCTCATCACCGCTTTATAAGCATCCCATACAATCTGTATCGGTGTTTCTTTATTTAAATTTTGTTGAAAGAATTGTTTCGTTTCTTCCTTTAACATCTCAATTACCGTTTTCTTATCCAACAAGTCTTCATTAATCCTCCACAGAAAGGGTTTTTTCCTTTCTGTGGAACTCCATACCACCGGATTGTGATCTGAATTACATCTTGGCAAAATTTCAGTCTTATGTGTTTTCATTGATAATTCTTCAGACATCCAAATCATATCAATTCTGGAAAAAGAGCAATGTCTATTGGAATAAAAAGTAAAGTCTTTCTGCATCGGGTTCCATTTCCTCCAAACATCTTCTAATTTTTCTTGCTTAACTAATTCAAAAAAATTCTTTGGCAATTTTCCGCTGAATTCGTTGTCCTTTTGTGGTTTTCTGTCTAGACGATCTATTGTCCCATTAAAGTCTCCGGCCATAATAACTTGCTCATAAGTCAATTGTTGTAATTGGTCAGTTATATCCTTAAAAAATTTTTCCTTTGCTCCATTGGGTGCGTACACGTTGATCAACAATGTTTTTTTCTGCTGAATCATTAATTCCACACCCACGTATCTGCCATCTATGTCCTTAAAAATTTCTGTAGGTTGTAACTCCTTCTTCACATATGTCACAACTCCTTTTTTCTTGTTTGAGGCCGCAGAACAAAATTCAATTCCAAATAAAGCATTCTTTAAATATTTTATATCCTGTTTTCTAATATGTGTTTCTTGCAAGCATATCACGTTGCATTTCTGTTTCTGTATCCAATGATTGATTCTTTTCCTCTTGTTTGGTGAATTTAATCCATTAACATTCCATGACAACAATTTGTACTCCATTATGCGTTTTATTTTAAAGTTCTCCAAAGACGTCCGCATTGTCCGCCTTAAATTTATAAAAGTCCATCATCGATCTGATCTGAATCCTCCCACCTTGATACGTAAAGGATAAACCTTGTGGAATCTCCCATCTATATCTGATGCTCAAAGCTCTGAGTTTGTCCGCCAAGGATTTATACCTTTTCCTGTCTTGCAGTATTGTTCTTGGGAGTTCTCTCATCACCATAATTTTGTTTCCCTCTATTACAAAAGGGACGTTGAATTGCTTCTTGAATATCTCCTCTGTTATTGATCTTGTTACAAATTGTACAATTACATCCCTTGGTAAATTCTTCTTTTCTGCAATTCTGGAGTTCACTCTATAAATCAAATCAAAGTCTGAGTCCATTGACCCTTCCTCCTCGCCCAGAAAAGCCGTTATCACTTCCATCATTTTTTCTTTTAAGTTCTCATTCTCTGTTTCCTTAATGCCTCTGAATCTCAGATGAGTCTGCATCCTTCTGAACTCCATCATTGTCTCTGATCTTGTAATTTGTTGAGTCAAAGAATCTTGTTTCTCTTCTATTTTTTGTATCTTCTCCTCTGTCTCTGTAGTCTTGGTTGCATTTGCTTGAACATCCTTCTTAACTCCTTCCATTTCTTGCTTGATTGAAGTTATTTCTGTAGTAACCAATTCCTTCAATGCTGTTATGTTCTTCTCTTGGACTTCTTCTAGATGTTTCAGATGAATCTGAGTTTGCTTCTCCAGTTGGTCCCCCAATGTTTTTTCTATCTGCTCCCCCATGGCTTGTATTGCCTCTGTCATTCTCTTCTCCATTGCTTCCATGGAGGCGGATTTCTGGGATTTACTATTCATTTTCCGCTCAACCGCTTAATTCAAATTGACTCCAAACTCAGTTCAGGTAAGCGGCACGTTTTTGTTATCTAGCACGTTCAAAACGGGTTTCGCATTGTTTCTTTTAACTCACAGTTGTTGTCCTTCTTCAAAGAAGTCTGCTGACGAAGAATTTATGCCGGTAATCCGGCTCGATCGGCCACTATAGAGTTGCTTGGCACTTGCCTTCTTCGTGGGAGGAGGTCAAAGCCCAATTCAGCTTCTTCCGAAGCTGGATTACGCCAACCTCACACTCCCTCTAGGGCGCTGCTGCCTGCTTGTCCCCCCCCCTCGCTGGGGAGTGATGCGTTGGGCTGTGTATTGCCCAAACTGTCAAAAGTGGCCGTCGCTCGCTTCGCACGATCGCGAAACGCTTCAGTCCTCCATCTTAGCCAGACCGGAAGCCCTGACCCTTCTGTGCCCAGAGGACTAAGTTCTTTGGTGGAATTGGCGTTTGTATCATCAGAAAGATCATAACATGTTTAAAACTCAGTAGTGTTTGCAGCTGAACCAGGACAGTGGGGGGGGTGCCAGTTTGGTGCCCCTAAGGGCCGACGCACTCTAGGCGAGCGCCTAGTTCGCCTAGTGAGTGAGCCGGCCCTGCATGTCACCATTTCACCCTTGCTTAGCAGTGCAAAAAAGGTGGCTGCAAGATCTACAAGCACTAGATATATTCTACCTTCACTTGTAGGGTCCACAACTTTTGGAGAATGTTTCTCAGGCTTACAGTTCCATCCTGAGTATAGTGCTACCCTTCTAAGTTCACTGAGTTAAAAGCTTATAGACTTTAAAGACTATAACTTTCATTAGGTTGGCACAGTTAATACCTGACATAAATCCATACATAATATAAATCCATTCAATACTTTCCTTTGAGTGTCATATTATATATTCCCTTGCTCAGTATGAAAATGGTGGGTGTTTCCAAATATTTATTTACTGGAAATACTTGTACCCAGTGTTCCCTGTAAGCTGAGTTAGTGTGAGCTAGCTCACAGTTTTTCAGCCTCTACCTCACACATTGTTGTCTTAGCTCAGGAAGGATGGCTCCAGAGCAAACTAATTTATGCAGTAGCCAAATCGCTTGCTCACGACTTTAATGCCAGTAGCTCACAAGACTCCACAGCTTAGAGGGAGCATTGCTTGTACCCCACTTGTCCTTTGAGGCTCAGTGCAGTTTTTATACAATATGCAGATACACCTAAATAACACTGAAATAAGTTTAAAATCAAATCTGCTCAATAAAAGAAACCAGTCATAGGACCTACAATAGAACAGAATCAATGGAAGGCCAGCACTTAAAAGCCAAATGCTCCATGGCCACCAAGTCAAATGTGTCTGTTGGTTTTTTGTTCACACTCTCTCTTGGAAGGAGAAGTCACTTGGAAGCAGGAAAATAATAATATCATTTTAACATAAGCTTTTAAAAAATAACTCATTGCGTCTTACCTCACATGATATCCTTGTGGGTAGCACTAAGACTGCTGGCCTTTCCAGTGTTTCAGGGTCTGTCTCAGTTACTGCACTGTCTTCTATCTTCAAAGCATGTTCTAAATCCAATGACAGTGTATCAAGATCTGCCCAAAACAAAGTTACAACTACTAATTAAAAGCTCTTCTCCTATCCCAAAACAAGTCAGTCCTATATATTCTTTCTTACCCAACACACCATCATACTGTAGTGTGACCTAGAAACTGGAACTGGGATGGAACATCTTCTCCAAAAAAGATGCAAACGTTTGGGGGCTTTAAAAAAACTTTTAAAAATACAGATAACAAAGGAAATCACAGAAATTTATAAAATTATGATCAGTGTGGAGAGATGCTTTATGGTCTGTTATTTTGCTAGGCATTTTTAAGGTATCAAATGTCCAGGTCCCTGATCTCTTCAGTGTAATTCAGGACATTCATATCAACATTTTAGAACAGTATTTCTCAGACTTTAGCAACCCAAGAACCCCTATTTTGATGAAAAACATTAATGGATCCCCCCCGACTTCCTTTCCTCCTTCAGCAGCTCTCACCACATGCCAGAGAAATGCTTTTCAAAGAGTGTGTGGCAAGCCACACATGCCCCTGGGAAGCTTCTGTTCCACTGTATCCACAAAATAACACAAGAAGACCTTTATCACATATACTGTGAAAGCAGGTTTTGAAAAAGCTTTTATTGTGTGTACATGGTCTACAAGGTCAGGTCTCAAAAGGCAGCTGACTCTATACGGCTGGAACTCAAAAAGGCCATGTTCTAGATACTAATTAATGTCACCATAGGTTGGAAGAGTCTTTGCAACAGAGACAGCAAGAAACTTTCTTATTAGTTAATAATTTCTAGACAGAAGCCAGCTGTACAAAGGTGGGAAGAGGCCAGGCAAAACTTTCAGAGTTGCTCATAGAAGTAGAAAAAGACCATAATCACACAACATCTGAACATCTGATATTCAGCTGAAAACCACCATTGGCTATTATTGTCTGTGGATGCAGAGCAGTCTCTCTCTCTCTCTCTCTCTTTCACTCCCACTCTTTCACTTTCACTCTTTCTGTGTGTGCATGAGAGAGGTGAAATCATTTGCACTGGAAAATGGACTTAAAACAGTCAGTCTAGGTCTCCCTCTCTCTTCCTCCTGTTCCAAAGCATCCAAGGCCAGCAGGAGAAAAAATGAGTGCACCACTCTAAGATTTGCCCCAAACTCTATGGTTTAATCATATGGTGTAACCATAGAGTTTAGGGTGAACTCTGACATCATGACACCGCCTCCAGTTATTTTACTGAAAGTAACATCACATGCTGTCCTTGACCCCTCCCTAGTCCTCCTGGCTAGTTGCCAGCTGCACATTAAAACCCCAAGTGAAACCCAGTTGAATTTTATAGAGAGAGAGAAACTATGATGACTGCATTAGAGCGGTATCTCCTTGGTGCTACTCAATCAGTTAAAGTTCCTAAGGCTGAGCAATTGATTCCAAGCAACCAGTCAGCAACATCTTCTGGCTGATTTGTCCCTTCCCCTGAGGTGGAGAGTCCCTGCCCCCATTCCTAGAAAACTAAAAGCGCTGTTTTCATGTTAGCCAACTGTGTTGAGAAGGTTTAGCATCTGGCCTCAGAAAGACTTGTTGAGCCCCAGAAAACATTGTTTTAGATTATTTCCAGTGAGTTTAATCAGATCATTATTAGTTACTCACAGATTATTAACTGAAACATGACCATTTGGCTTCTTAATGATCAACAGTTGAGTTATGTTGTAGTAGTTGTTGTTGTAGTTGTTGTAGTAGTAATCATCAGGGGTCTTGTTGTAGAAAAAGAGCTGCCGGAGCTCATTAGCATAACTCATTAGCATAACTTATTTGCATATGCCACGCCCCCTGACATCACCGGAAGTGACAGAAGGCCACACCCCCTGACATCACCGGAAGTGTGTCAGAAGGCCCGGCTACTTACCCTCCTGCTTCATCCTCATTCCCAAACGGAATGAGGATCGAAGCAGAGGGCGGGGTAAAGAAGGGGGCGGGGCTTCACCACGTGACCGCCCCGCCCCCTAGAGGTTCTCTTCCGGAGCTCCGTACCTGAGAGCTCCCCCCCGACTAGAGCCCTGGTAATCATAACAATAAAGTGGCAATATACTGAATCAGTTCACTGGCCTACCCGGCCCAGTATGGTATACTCTGACTGCAGCAGCTCTCCAGGATCTCAGGTGAGAAAGGCCTTTCCCCAGCACTTCCTACCTAAGATTCTTTAACTGGAGATGTGCTGGACAGTTCTGTTCATTTACATTGAAAAGTAACCTGCAAGACAGGCTCCAGCTACTCCATGAACAGCCAGACAATCTGTCAAGAAACTGGCTTTGTCTCTGCTCACAAATAGTGATGAAAACATGAATAAAACTAGCAGGTGCTCAAGTATCCCTACAGGTGATGCTATTTTTATATGCTTCCTGTTGCAGCTGAGCTGGATGGTGTCTTTAGTAGTAAGAAGGTGTTCCAGCCATATCTCAGCTGGGGTTGGGGGGGGGGAATGCCTATTACAAATGAAGTACCAGGACTTTTCTGGAATCAAATAAATCAGCTTATAGATAAACATACTGTTAGATACGAGACTCAGGCAGCACGTGAACAGTGATTAACAGCTTTATTGAACACGAAGTCAGAAGAACCAGAACGAGACAAATCAATGGAGCAACAGGCTCCTTTTTAAACTGTCCGGACTTGGCAAGCCACGCCCACATGTCAGCTAAGGTCCAATCAAATGCAGTACATAAAGGCCAATCATTTCTCTTCCCTCCAGAACTTCCTTTGTTCTGATAGGTCGGTTTTACAATACCATCTCAGATTCAAGCTCAATACTTTTATTACATTACATTACATACACAACACATACATTAGTTAGCATTTTGAAAGAAGCAAACCATGAAAATGGGATAAAAATGGTGCAGAACAGAACAAAGATTGTGGTTACAATTTTGTTTGTTTTGCTTGCAAAAGATAGATGGGTCACCAGAGTTGTGGCATAATCCTAAAAGCACTTTCTTCAGAGTAAATACCACTGAATAAATTGGGACTTCTGAGTGGAGCTAATTAAGATTGTTTTCATGGACACATTATCACAGTTATTCGATAACACACCTTTAGGATGGTCATAGATACGCAATAAAGCAAAAGCAAATGATAACATTTGTCCTAGAAAAACAGGAATATTCCACACAGTAAGATCTGAAAATACAGGCATCTTGTTTCCAAACACATCTACTGGTGCATATACTTAAAATCAGAATTGTCAAAATTTTGCCTGAAGCAAAAATGGAGGGGATGATTTGGCAGTTCTTGTGTGGGAAACCATCCCAGGAATTTAAAAAGAAGCAAAAGAGACATTATTAAGGGCTAAACTAATGCAGGAGATCCATTATCAGGATTTCCATGTTTTTCACCCACCTTCAAGATGTATTCTCCAAAGAACACGTCACAGAATTTCTCTGTTTTGCCCTCAGCAATCCTGTGTGTGAGTAGCACTTTGAATAATGGCGGCCTAGCCACATGCCCTCTCTTGTACAATTCCAGGATCTGAATTCATTAGCGGTATCTAATGATGCTGCGACTGCGTTCTGCGGTGGAAACTAAATAGAGAAATCTACAGTCCAGTTCCCTTGAGTATTAAAGATAATGCCTGCTAAGATTATAGTGGCTCAAGCGCCATCTGAGGCTGCTGTCTTTGACAAGTTTTTGACAAATACCTACTGCTATACTTCATGCCCAAAGAATTAATCTCAAATTGTACTTTATATCTTGGTAATCAAATATTAGCCCAGTCTCCATTATATACATTTAGTAATTCACTTAATTGGGTACCGTGCTGATGCCTTGGGTTTTATTTCAGCCACTCTCCTTAATTCATAATACTCAGTAGCTTCATTTCAGCCTATCCTACGCAAAATCATTTGGACGGCGTTATGACTTTCAGCCCTCCATTATCAAATGAATTGATGGAATGACTCTGAAATTGCATTTCCATGAATAAACACAGCATTTGTAATGAACATTCTGCCCATTGTCACTGAGTCAGAAACCAACATAGCTGTGAAAGAAAGAAAACGTTATCTTGCAGTGTATCCAAGATGAAGGATTCTACCCTTTCAATACAGCTCACCAGTTATGAGCAGTTTGTGGTGGGAATTTCGTGAAGGGAGTATGTATCTCTTATATATTAGCCCTTTTCATATGCTACAGTAGCAGGTACCAGGAGCCTGCCAACTACATATAATGGGAGTGCATGCCACCTGCAATACTTCTAATACTCATGGTCACTATGTTCAGTGAATGGAACAATGTGGGTATTCACCATGTGCACACAGGTTTACACAAATCCATGAAGCCGCCCTATACTGAATCAGACACTTGGTCCATCAAAGTCAGTATTGACTGGGACCTGTGTTTTGTCCATTGTGTGACACAGACTGTTGGACTGGATGGGCCATTGGCCTGATCCAACATGGCTTTTCTTATGTCTATTCAGATTGGCAGCAGCTCTCCAGGGTCTCAGGTAGAAATAATTCACATCATCTACTATGCCAGGGATTGAACCTGGTACCTTCTACATGCCAAGCAGAGGCTCTACAGCTGAACTACACAGTCCCTCCCCTGTATACATGAACTAACCAGTGGATTTTCCAGGCTTTGTGTCCATATGTACTAAGGGTGTAGACATATATTATGTTGTTCCTGTTCTCACAAAATGGAAGCCTTGTGTATTGGGAGAATCAGTGGTGGTGTACGCTCCTGTTATGCACCATTGGCTCCTGGTACACCATTGGCTCCTGTGATTTTAACATCTGAAAAGGGCTGTTTTGAGACTTCAAAGTAGGGATGTGGGTAACTCCTCTCTCCTTCTTTCCTCGAAATGTCTCCTAAATGTGAACCCTTACATTTGTCTCAGAATTGACAGATCTCCCTCTAAAAGGGACAGATCTCCCTCTAAAAGGGCGGTGGGGCCATGATTCTGGTCAGGACCGCAGCGGGATGGGAGGAGAGGCTCCTGCCTTTCACATGTCATCTTCCCAACCTGGAAAAAGTGCCAGGGGCGTTA